ACTCAGGACAGGAGCTGCAGGCTGACCGCTGTTTATCCTGCAGACTGCTGCAGAAAGACCCGCCCTGCTCTGCTCTGATTGGATAAAACTGTGGGGTTCGTTTGATTTGTTGAAAGCAGCGTCTGTTTAAACCTGGATCAGACTGGACGGCTTTAATGAGACCAGAGAAAACAAGCAGGTTCTCTGACATGGGCAGAATGACGTCGCTCATGAAATTAACATCATGATGTCATTTATTTTCCCGGACAAATTGTTTTACTGGTATTCTCATGAATGATGTGATATGGCCCAGCCCTACCTGAAAGTACGAAAACAGTAGCTAAAGGTAGAAAAACAGTAGCTAAAGGTAGAAAAACAGTAGCTAAAAAGTAGGAAAACAGTAGCTAAAATTAGGAAAACAGTAGCTAAAAGTAGGAAAACGGTAGCTAAAAGTAGGAAAATGGTAGCTAAAATTAGGAAAACAGTAGCTTAAGTAGGAAAACAGTAGCTAAAAGTAGGAAAAGAGTAGCTAGAAGTAGAAAAACAGTAGCTAAAAGTAGGAAAACAGTAGCTAAATGTAGGAAAACTGTAGCTTAAAGTAGCAAGACAATAGCTTAAAGTAGCAAAATAGTACCTAAAGTAGCAAAATAGTAGCTAGATCTATCAGGCAGTAGCAAAAAGTAATTGAGACAGTATCACGAAATAGAGAATCACATTCTCAAAGTAGCAAATCAGTAGCTAAAGGTAACAAAACAGTAGCTAAAGTAGCAAAACAATAGGTTAAAGTGACAAAACAGTAGCTAAAGTAGCAAAATTGTAGCTAAATCTATCAGGCAGTAGCTAAAACATTATGAGAGTATATAAAACTTTCTGAAAGTAGCAAGACAATAGCTAAAGTAGCAAAACATTAGTTAAAAGTAGCAAGAAGTTCAAGTTTAAGTACAGTAGCTAAGACAATAGCTGAAGTAGCACAACAGAAGCTAAAACACAATAAATTAGCAACTCAAGATAGCTAAAATAAAGGTAAAAGCAGCTAAAATGAGTCCAAAGCTCAAACAAGCTCCAAACATCTTTAACTCATTAACATTTGGAGCTGAATTCAAGATGGCCGCCACAGCTAATGGACCTTAGTGAACACCGTCATCTTTAGCTGAGTCAGTTTTTAAAGGTCCAGCTTGGTGTGGCAGCAGCTGAGAGTCCTGGTCTCAGACTCTGAGCTCTTCACATGGTTTATGGACTCAGATCAGAACTTGTGTTGTTTCACTTTAAACTTTGTTGTTTTTGAAGCTCAGTTTGTTTATTTGTGTTTGAATTCTTCACACAAACATTTAAACAACTCAAACAGCACATCCTCAGGACGGTTCAGGTGATGCTGCTCTGGTTTTAAACACCTGGTCCACGGTTCTGGTTCTGGACTCACCTTCCCAGCTCTGCAGTGATCAGCTGCAAACCTTGTAGCCTCTCTGACACACAGGACATCCATGCCGTCCACCTGAAACCACAGGGTCCAGTTAGACGATGGCTGTGTCCAAAACGGCAGGACGGGTCCTCCGAAGGTCGAATTTGTCGGCTGCATACGTCACAGCGCCGCGACGAAGGACGTCCAAAACGGAAGACTCCTCCGATGCGGCCGACAAATACGTCCTTCATTTGGCCCGAATCGAAGGACAGGTCTGATGGTTCCTTCCCGGCCCAGCATATCCCATAATGCATTGAAGCCCGACCGGAGTTTTTTTTATGCTAGTAATGGCGGA